CCCTCTTTTCCCCTCCTCGACCCCGTCTCCCCCTCCCCGAGGCCTTGGAAAAGAGGCCAAAAGACATTTGGGTTTTATTTGGTCGAAATGGCATTTCCGTGGTAACCCGGCATGGGCCCACCCCTAAACACAGCCAGCGCGGCCCCCCCAGCATGCGGTACTGGCTGGGAAGGGGGGTTTGGGGCTCTGGGGGATGCCTAATGCCCGCAGCCCCCCAGCACCCTTAGGGTGAGGGCAGGAGGATTTGGCAGGACCCTTCCGCCCGGGTCCGGCATCCCCCGGCATGGGTCAGGCAGCGCGATGTCCCCTCTCCCTCCCCGAGGGTGGCTCCCATCCCTGTCCGGGTCTCCTCCCTGGTGGGATCACAGACCCAGGCAAGCCAGCACCGAACCCGCGTCGGGGCTGTAAGCAGCTTGGGAGTCCCCAAAACCAGTGGGGCGACCCAGGCTGGGACCCCAAGAGACCACCAACGCGGACCCCAGCTCCCGCCCGCATCCCCCGAGCTTTTGCCCAAGGTCAAGGTGACTTGCGCTGCCCGGCTGGGATCTAAACAAGGTGTTATTTTCCCAACCCAGCAGAGATCCGACACCATAAGTAGGCGTCGGTTGGTATCTCGTGTGTGTGTGTGTGTGTGTGTGTGTGTGTGTGTGTGTGTGTGTGTGTGTGTGTGTGTGTGTGTGTGTGTGTGTGTGTGTGTGTGTGTGTGTGTGTGTGTGTGTGTGTGTGTGTGTGTGTGTGTGTGTGTGTGTGTGTGTGTGTGTGTGTGTGTGTGTGTGTGTGTGTGTGTGTGTGTGTGTGTGTGTGTGTGTGTGTGTGTGTGTGTGTGTGTGTGTGTGTGTGTGTGTGTGTGTGTGTGTGTGTGTGTGTGTGTGTGTGTGTGTGTGTGTGTGTGTGTGTGTGTGTGTGTGTGTGTGTGTGTGTGTGTGTGTGTGTGTGTGTGTGTGTGTGTGTGTGTGTGTGTGTGTGTGTGTGTGTGTGTGTGTGTGTGTGTGTGTGTGTGTGTGTGTGTGTGTGTGTGTGTGTGTGTGTGTGTGTGTGTGTGTGTGTGTGTGTGTGTGTGTGTGTGTGTGTGTGTGTGTGTGTGTGTGTGTGTGTGTGTGTGTGTGTGTGTGTGTGTGTGTGTGTGTGTGTGTGTGTGTGTGTGTGTGTGTGTGTGTGTGTGTGTGTGTGTGTGTGTGTGTGTGTGTGTGTGTGTGTGTGTGTGTGTGTGTGTGTGTGTGTGTGTGTGTGTGTGTGTGTGTGTGTGTGTGTGTGTGTGTGTGTGTGTGTGTGTGTGTGTGTGTGTGTGTGTGTGTGTGTGTGTGTGTGTGTGTGTGTGTGTGTGTGTGTGTGTGTGTGTGTGTGTGTGTGTGTGTGTGTGTGTGTGTGTGTGTGTGTGTGTGTGTGTGTGTGTGTGTGTGTGTGTGTGTGTGTGTGTGTGTGTGTGTGTGTGTGTGTGTGTGTGTGTGTGTGTGTGTGTGTGTGTGTGTGTGTGTGTGTGTGTGTGTGTGTGTGTGTGTGTGTGTGTGTGTGTGTGTGTGTGTGTGTGTGTGTGTGTGTGTGTGTGTGTGTGTGTGTGTGTGTGTGTGTGTGTGTGTGTGTGTGTGTGTGTGTGTGTGTGTGTGTGTGTGTGTGTGTGTGTGTGTGTGTGTGTGTGTGTGTGTGTGTGTGTGTGTGTGTGTGTGTATATTTATATACGTCTGTGCCTACAAATGGCTGTAATGGGAGTTTGGGGTTGGCTAATAACGACGTGGCAGCCGTGAGTCAGCGCGCAGGGTGATGGTATCTGCTCCGAGCCAGCCTTGCGATGGTGGACCAGTCCCCGGATGCTGCCGGGGTGGCCCAGGCCAGCGGTCCCATCCTCGGAGCCACCGCGGTGGCTCCCGGCAGCCTGGGAGCTCCCCGCTTTCCCCGGCTCGGGCGGCTGCTGCAAGGGGAGCTGGAGCCGGTGCGAAGCGATGCTCCTCGAGAAACCGGGACTCCCACGCCGATCTCCTGGGTGTGAGATCCCGGCTCCGCGCTGGGAAACGTGTCTGGGCAGAACCCCGCGCTGCAAGATGGGCCTGAAACGTTGCCTGCACCCAATTATTCATTCCTTTTGGTTTTTTGTTTTTTTTTTTTTTTGGCCCCCACCCTAGGCACTCTCTTGGCAGTTTAAAATAACGATCGTGATATTAATTAAAGTGTAAATCACCCGAAACAGAAGCTAATCATGCAGTATTGTTAATAAAGGGGAAGGTGGCCATCCCGGACCCAGCTTGGGCATGGGATAAAATAGAAAATGCCCCAAAGTGACCCAAATTCCCTTTCCCTGCTGAAGTCCCGTCCCCACTTGCCACTGGGGCTGGAGCGGTGGTGGTGCAGGGATGGTGGGCGAGGGGACGCTCACCGGCAGCTGGGACCCCCGGGGGATTGCCGGGATGCTGCTGCGCCGCTGCTGACCCTTCTCCTTCGCCTCCGCAGGCGGGCGAGCCGTTTTCTCCTGAGACGAGCCCAACCAGGTGATCAAAATAGAGTCCCTCAAGGTGACGGTCGACTTCTTGAAGGTGCCCCTGGGCCTGAAGAAGCCCCCTCTGAAGGAGGCCCTGGCCGCCGTCCCGGGGCCGGGGAGACCCAAGCCCCTCGGCGTGGAGTGGCGCAAGCCCCGGCGCTCTGACACCATGGACAATGAGTCGCAGTACTCGGGATATTCCTACAAGTCCGGGCATTCCCGCAGCTCCCGCAAGCACAGGTGAGGGGTCAGTGCGTGCCCGGGGAGGGGTCCCTGGCCCCAGTGGGTGCTGTCACCCCGGTGCACCCACCCTGCTCCCCTCTCTTGCCTTCCAGGGACCGGCGGGGCCCGCCGCCGCTCGAAAAGCCGGGAGGGGAGCCGCGGGGACAAGTCGGTGACCATCCAAGCGCCAGGCGAGCCCTTGTTGGACAACGAGTCGACTCGGGGGGATGAAAGGGTGAGTTGGGCAGGGGGGAGGGATGGGGACGGCATCTCTGCCCTGCTGTGGGGATGTTGCCGAGGGTGGGAGCCGCCAGCGGGGCGCAGGGGCTCCCGGCATGCCTGGTGCTCCCCGGCGGAGCAGTCGAGCCGGTTGGGCTGGCCCTCAGCTGGCGGACGGACTCCTGCGAGCGCTGCGGCGGGGCCGGCGGGGAGGGCGGGCGGGCAGCGCGGGTGCAAATGAAAGGGGACCGGCTGTCACGGCACCCCAGGGAAGCAACCGGG